GCATTTTTTACACAGACACTATTATCACTGGCTAAGCTGAAGAGTTTGAGAATTAGAAATGTCGATGGTTGTCCGGTTTACACAGCCAGCAGGAACAGGAATGGAGCTTTGAACCTGAGCTGAATCTGTGCTTACAGAAAATGAGCTCAGTCCCTCCTCACCCACCTCCAATGTCAGGGTTGCAAGACTTAATCTGGGGCATGGCGGCTCACACCTGTAATCACTTTACTTGGGAGACTGAGACAAAGGGATCAGAAGTTCAAGACCATCTTCAGTTATGTTGTGAATTTTAGACCAGCCTGGGCTCTGAGGCCCTATCTCAAAAAAACCCAAGAAACAAAAAACAAAAATCAACCCCACCAAAAAATAAAATAAAAAGGGTACAAGAAACAGGATGGAGCGATGGCTCCACAGTTAAGAGCACTCGCTGCTCTTGCAGAGGACCTGGGTTTGATTCCCAGCACCCACATGGCGGCTAACAACAGTCTGTTAACTCCAGTTCCAGGGGATCTGATGCCCTCTTCTGACCTCTGATGGCACTGCATGACACAAGTGCCCTTACATACATGCAGTAAAAAGGGTACAAGAAACAGGATGGAGCGATGGCTCCACAGTTAAGAGCACTCGCTGCTCTTGCAGAGGACCTGGGTTTGATTCCCAGCACCCACATGGCGGCTAACAACAGTCTGTTAACTCCAGTTCCAGGGGATCTGATGCCCTCTTCTGACCTCTGATGGCACTGCATGACACAAGTGCCCTTACATACATGCAGGCATAACACTCAATGACACAAAGATATATGTGTATATATATGTATACACACATATATGTTCTGTTTCTGTTGCTGTGGTAACATACCCTGGCAAAGCAGCTCTAAGGGAGAAAGGTTTTTTTGGCTCACAGTTCCAGGTTAAGTCCTTCCTTCTAGGAAAGTCAAGGCAGGAGCTTGAAACAGTCAGTCACATCCACAGTCAAGAACAGAGAGAGACAGCACGTGTGCTCCTTGGCCTGTGCTCAGTGACAGGCCAGCAGGAAGGAAAGACAGACAAGGGAACAAACGACATAAGTCAGTGCAGGCCTTTATTTTGAGAACAAAACTGCAGAGGGGGTTCCCCCTAAGAACCAGAGCCTGCGGTCTGCTTAAAGGCTGGGGTAGTTACAGGGCTCAAGTGGGGAGCAGGGAAAGAGGTTGAAATGTGTCCTTTTTTGGCCTGTGGTTGGCCATTGCTGGGGGTAATCAGTGAGTGGCCACTGGAAGAATGTTAGGTGATTGGTAACAGCTCTCTTGGCTACTACCAGGGGTCCCTAGGGTGGGGAAGTGGAGCATCTAGAGAAACTACTTACATCTAGGGACTAAATTACAGTAGCTATGGGAATTGTCACTGTCCAACCAAAATGGAGGAATTTTACAAAATGACTTAGCCCTGGGTCACACTCGGTCCCCTCTCTAATCTATACAATCCAGGACCCAAACCCAGGGAATGGTGCCACCCACAGTGGGAAGCTCTTCCTGCCCCAGTTCACACAATCAAGACAACCCTCCACAGACATGCCCACAGACCAACCTGATCTAGACAGCCCTTCCTGACCCCCTTCCCAGGTTTTATGGATTGTGTCCAGTTGACAAAGTGTGTGTGTGTGTGTGTGTGTGTGTGTGTGTGTGTGTGTGTGTGTTCATCAATCTCTTCCTAAAATAGTATTGTGGCCCTCTTAGAAAATATTTATCTGAATATTACTCAGAATACATTCACATCAGGATTACTTTGGGGAGCTTGTCAAAAATCACAGATTCGGGCTGGGCATGGTGGTGCATGCCTTTAATCCCAGCACTCAGGAGGCAGAGGCAGGTGGATTTCTGTGAGTTCAAGGCCAGCCTGGTCTACAAAGCGAGTTCCAGGCCTTCTGAGGCTACAGAGAGACACTGTCTCAAAAAGACTGAAAACAAACACACACCACAGATTCCCTGGATACAGCCTAAGAGAACCAGGAATGGGACCCCTCTGGGAGAGCCAGGGGATTGTACACACGTTAAAGTTCCAAGGCTCCTATAGCAAGCAAGTGTGCCTCACGCCATAAGATCTCCACAGGGACTGAGGGCTGCGGACAAGGTCTTCACACTACACAGGTCTCCAACTTCTTGGAGGCTCGGCTACAGTTAAGATCATGCCTACTTCTTCCCCTGTGTAATGTACTTGATGATGGTAAATTGTCATGTGCTCTCTGAGCTCACTGACAAGCTGGTTCTGGAATTGGGGGTTGCCCACCCCCCATTTCCAGACCCAGCAGGTTTGTCTCAAAGTGGCCTATGAGGTCCCTTGTCTAGTTGGGGCTGCCCCCCACCAACTCTGTGTCAAGGAGGGCAAAACAGCTCAAGACTAAAAACACCGTGCCCTTGAGAAGAGCTAGAAGGCAGAGCATGCCGAATAGATGCCGCTGTTGGTGACCCTGTGATATGAAAGCGACTGTGAGGGAAAACGGAGCCGGAAGCTCAGCCTTGGAGAGAAAGCTCAATCAGGAACTGCAGCCAGATGCTTCAGCTTCACCAGTCAGTTCTGCTGGGCATTCTGAGCACCCAGTTTGATGATGTCTAGCTGTCTGTCTGTCTGTCTGTCTATCTATCTATCTATCTATCTATCTATCTAATTGAGCACCCAGTTTGATGATGTCTAGCTGTCTGTCTGTCTATCTATCTATCTATCTATCATCTATCTATCTATATCTATCATCTATCTACCTATCATCTATCTATCATCTATCCATCTATCATGTATGTATCCATCTATCAGCTATCATTTATCATCTATCTATCTATCATCTATCTATCTATCTATCATGGGGCTACAGGGAGACCAGTTTGACTTACTGTATACTTAATAAATTCACTAATCTAAAACTGAACATAAGACTGTCATTGCTCATTCTCGAGCTCCACAGGACAGCTTGTCACCCTGAAGGGTGAGGACTGGCCTCCCTACCTCCATCTTCTCATCTCATTTGTGGCCCACCCTATCTATGTCTGTTTTTTCTTTAGTCTTATTTGAACTCACATGAGATTAGAATTTAACTATATTTAGGTAAGGTCCCCTAAACCTCAATGTGGCACAAATATGTATCAAGGTAGAAACTAAATTAAAGTCAGGAAAACTAAATTAAAAGTAGGATTACCCACCTGCCGTGGTGGCACATGCCTTTAGTTCCAGCACTCAGGAGGTAGAGGTAGGGAGATCTGTGAGTTCAAGGCCAGCCTAGTCTACATAGTGAGTTCCAGGCCAGCTGGGGCTACAGGGAGACCCTGTCTCAAAAAGATCAAAAAAAAAAAGAAAGGTAAGATTACCCAAACAGGTGTGTGAACAGGGGAGTGGGTTTGATCTGGAAAATTTTGGAAGACAAAGTAAATGAATGGGAATTAGTCTGGGGCCTGGAGGGATGGATCAGTGGTTAGGAACACTGGCTGGTCTTTCAGAAGACTGGAATTTGATTTCCAGCACCGTGTCAGGCAACCCACAACCACTTTCAACTCCAGCTCCACAGGGTCTGATGTCCTCTTCTGGCCTCCGTGGGCAATTATACATATGTGGGCAGACACACAGACATGTATACATGCACATAAAAATTGTATGTGGCACTTTTTTGCACCACTATCATGGGTTCGCATGTATGCTCCCGGGAAGGGCCTGTTGCAGTCGGCTCTGCCCCACCGCTGCAGCATCCCACCCGTTTGAAACCGACGTCTGCCGTCGTGAAGGAGCAGATTAACAAGCTGGCCGAGAAGGGCCTGACTCCATGCCAGATCGGTGTGATCCTGAGGGACTCACATGGTGTTGCAAAGTCTGTTTTGTGACTGGCAATAAAATTTTGAGAATCCTTAAATCCAAAGGACTGGCTCCTGATCTCCCTGAGGGTCTCTACCATTTGGTTAAGAAAACAGTTGCTGTTTGAAAGCATCTTGAGGGGAACAGAGAGGGTAAGGATGTTCAATTCTGCCTGATTCTGATAGCAGAATTCACCGACCGGCTTGTTATTACAAGACTAAGCAGATCCTCCCACCCAATTGGAAATATGAGTCATCCACAGCCTCTGCTCTAGGACATAAATTTGTCTTGTGTACTGAAGCAATAAAATTACTTTAAATAAAAGAAATTGTATTTGGCTTAATTTTGGTTCAAAATTATGAATTCTCTAAGAAATTCCTCTTCCCATTTGTTCCTATGGGAGGTGCCCAGGAAGTGTTTAATTAGGGTCAGAGCTTTGCACCTGGAGTCAAAGTCCCTTTGGGTTTTTTGTTTGGGGTTTAGATTTTGAGTCAAGGTCTCAGGCTGTAGCTCAGGTTGGCTTTGAACTCATTCATGATCCTTCTGCTCGGCCTACTGAGTGCCGAGACTACAGGCATGAGCCACCATGCCTAAACCCACTGTCTGGGGGTCAGAGGTAATTCGGCTTGTAAATCATGTTTTTGAAATTTCTTCATGGAAGTCCAGTGAGGACCAGTGATCCCCTGGACCTGTCACCTCCTGTTCTTTGTAGATTCCAGAAGTTTCTTCCTTATCCCCTGAGACCATGTCCATAAAGCTTAGCCCCCAGAGACTGTGTCAACAGAGAGAGGCTTCCTCTAACTTACTGTCATTGCTATCTTTATAACTAGTTTGGCAATTGATCACAAATTACCTGCTGATGACTTTTTTCCTTTTTGGGACAAGTTCTTGCTGTGTAGCCTGGGCTGTCCACTGAGGTCACAGGTGAGAGCCACCACACCCAGCTCTACTGGTTTGATTTTTTTCTTTTGCTGTGCTGAGTATCGAACCCAAGGCCTCTCATATGGTAGGCAAGCATATTTCCGGTGAGTTACACACCAGCATTTATTTTATTTCGTTTTGTTATTTTGAGACAGGGTCTCACCACATTGACTAGGCTGGCACTGAACTTGCTCTATAGCCCACATGAGCCTTGAATTTGCTGTCATCCTGCCTCAGCTTCCCTAGTAGCTGGGATTGCAGGCCTATCCCATCAGCCCCAGCTTGGTTTGTAGATCCTGTTCTTCTTGCTCTGAAAGTGACTTTGGCTGGTGTGGAATCAGGGCTACAGATGGAGAGAAATTGATTTTACAGACTATGGAAGACTGACATTTTAAGGACAGTCAACTCTTCCTGCTTTTACTATTTAAACCTCCAGCCCATATCACACAAGTTGTTACTCTTTCACAGA